TAGTTTTTCAATAATCTCGTGATATTTGGTTCAATGTCTTGATCATATATTGTGATATGTTCCACGCCGATAGCACGATTGATCTCTATCCATGAAGCCACATCAAGTAGGGAAGTGTCATTTGCAATGATACCTTTGTAGAGGCACACAGCAAACTCAATCTTCTTCTCCTTTGTCTCATAATAGACCGGCATATCTTCAATAATGAGACCGGAATCAGTGCAATTGCTGTCATTATATGCATCAACAGAGTCATGCACAGAAGTGGTGTTTGGCTGTATTTTAAACACAGCATTGAAAAAATACTTTACTTCTTTACGAATTTTATTAACTAACTTGCCATAAGGCACCCATTGAGGTGGCAAGCAATCACAGTATTTATCGTTACAAGTCTTCAGCCATATAGAGGGCAATGTCTTGTTGTGGTAGTGAAATATCATCATGACAATTGCAGGTCTACCATAAGGAAAATCTCTATGCTCATAGTGTGCTATGTGCCAAACCAGAGTGTCATTCTCGGCGGTATCATTACTACTGAGTTTGTGCCAAAGTGTCTGTTCTTCCTTGATCTTGCTTTTGTAAAGAGGTGAGTTTACAAGAACCTCTTGCTTGCTCAAGAGGTAAAATATGGTGACAAAGACAACTGCTCCAGAGAATAAGGAGAGAAGGAGACTGTAATACTTCAAGTTGTATGATCTTTGCCTCGATACTTGCTGCATTATAGGCTGGCAGCTCAGCAGATTGCATGGAGGCGGGTTGCAGCATCAGAGGGCGGGAATTGCTGCAAACTGAATTAACTCATAAATCAATGAATTGTAACCAAATTACAGTGCAGGTCTAGATGTATCAAATTATCAATATATTGCAACGGGCTTTTTTCTTAGAATATCAATTAACAATATGTAACAATATAGTCGGCTGTAACAAAGGGCTTTGTGATTTTATAATTCAGTTGTCAGTCTACATGCATAGCAGGACCAAGGACTCAGTTCAAATTCCGTCCTTACCTCACAAATATAGAAGGAGGAAAGAGTTGACAAGCTTTCGTGCAAAGCAAAAAACTATCAACTATAGGATAGGTTTAGTTATACTGCTTGTACCCAGCAACTTAGCTCATCATTGATCACCCACGTGTAACCACGTGTGTAGGGTGTGTTGACTTTAATTCTAATTAAAGCACGTAAAATAATGAAAAAGTCAACAGGGAATGCCATAGAATTGATGAGGGTTAGTCAGTCAGTTCAACACTCAGTTGTGTGCTATACTATAATACTCTTCTTTAGATAGGGCTCTACGTTTTCTTCCCAGTGGCTATATTTTATTGGTTCAATCATCCTGATTTCTTTGAGAAATATGTCGCAGATGAGAGAGTATGTACAATTAAAGTATTCTGAATCATCATGTATTTATTTTTGATAGAAAAGGCTCTTTCCTGATGGCGATGTAAGTTTTCAAAACATTTCTTATGAATATGGTCAAGAGACTAGTCAAGAGTACATGTACTCTTGATACTGTATACCAGGTATATTTTGTCTGGGAAATTATTTGTTCTAGGCTGGAGTAAAGATTTTGTTTGTGTACTTTTTGTTCTGAGCCGCGAGTTGTAGACATGGCATTGCCTTTTTTGTTATTCGTTCCACAAGGAATGAGAATGAAAAGAGTGTAATGAACTCTGACAGAATATACCTGCTATGGTATTAGTATGATTATTATTATCATTGTTATTGTTATTATTATTGTTGTTGTTATTATTATTATAGCGTCCCCCTACAACACTTGAAGGAAATAAGAAGTTGAGGCTCCAATTAAAGGAAGAGAGATTAAGCCGCCAGTCAAAAATTAGTAACAAGTAACATATAGTCCGTGATTTACAGTATTTTACTTTACACTATTAGTAAATAAAATTAAATCATAATGTATCGTTTTTTCCTAACTTTAAAATATGTACACGTGAATATAGTACAGTACAGTTAGTTCAATAGCTATCAGTCACTTGTGTCAGTCTTTTCATAACAGTATTAAAGTATCTTGACATTATCTTGTCAGTCAGTTGTTTCTCTTTTCTAGCATAATCTGGTGTCCTATAGTGATGCATTAGTCCAATATGTTCTGGTACTTGATACCTCTTGTAACCTTTCTTCATATGAAAAACATCATCATTACAATTGCGGGTCCACCATAAGGAAAGTCAGATCTATTCTCATAGTGTGCTATGTGCCAAACCAGAGTGTCGTTCTCAACAGCATCATTGCTACTGAGTTTGATCCAAAGTGTCGGTTCATCCTTGATCTTGCTTTTGTAAAGAGGTAAGCTTACAAGAGCCTCTTGCTCGCTCAAGAGGTAAAATATGGTGACAAAGACAACTGCTCCAGAGAATAAGGAGAGAAGGAGACTGTAATGAATCAATACTTTCTGGCTGCATTTCAAATTTTCCCAGCAGCCAGTTGTTGTATATCTATCTCAAAATTTAAAACCGTATTCAGTAATGAGGTTTTTAGTTAGCTCCACTTAACCATTGAAGTTGCTCCAGAATCGGACCAGCTTTTGTCAAAAATAAACTCTGACATCAGCCTGGACTGTTGGGGTAAGGTTCTTCTGTGTTTATTATTGTTAGTTTCTGAGAACTTAAAGATCATCAAGTTATAACTTGATTATACACCACACCAGTATTCTTGTCTGCAGTATAATCCATTCAACAATCCCGCAGTGTTTACACAGACTTATTGTACTGGGTGGCTAGCTCAACAATAATAACAATAACATGATATAAGTTGTTTACTCATGGAAGCCTGCTAAATATGCAGCCTCTGTGGCTCTCACTCCAACGCCACAATCAGATTTGATTGGCTTAGAGTGCTATCAAGAGTTTGAAGTTCACTACACTAGTGTAGTACACTTTTAAACTCTGCTTCAATAGACCGTAATTATTACATCACTCTTGTCTATTTTTAGTTAAACTTTAGTGGGAGTGGTAGGATATCAACACTTCCTGTCCCTCAGTCTTTAAAAAGTGGAGAAACAATCACTTATTTCAATATAATTCTTTTTTTTGTAACACCTGGTAGTGAAATTAGCAACAAGAAAAAAAGAGCCATGCAGTCTTCCTATTATCTTTTGATTGTGTTTGCTTCATTGCTCTCATTTGCATGCTCTGCTCATGATAATAATTTGGAAGAAGAGTACACTTTCCACAGGGAATTGGATCCTTCAGGTCGCTTTGTTCTCTACTGGAGGTTCAACCTCTCAACTGAGACGATTCACTTTGCAGTTGATGTTGAGACAGAGGGTTGGGTAGGGTTTGGGATATCTCCTACTGGTAGGATGCCAGGATCAGATGTAGTCATGGGTTGGATTGATGACAGGACCGGAGAACCACACTTTAATGTATGTTATTTTGCATTGACACTGCAGCACAATTACATGCAGCTTAAACCCATTATACTTTATGCTTTTTCTATTATGATAGGACCGGTATGCAGCTACTAGAGGTCTCCCTTCAATTGATGCAGAGCAGAACTGGTTCCTGACTCATTCCAGGCAAACTAATGGTCACACTATTCTTGAGTTCTACAGAAACTTCAGCTCATGCGATGAACATGATCTTGACATTGCTGTAAGTATTTGAGGTAGCAATCCTGTGGCTAGTGAGATGTATTTAACTAGCCTTGTTAGTTGTCTATCATATATCATGTTTCTAGTTTTAAGGATTTGTGTTTTGCATTTATAGAGTGGAACAACTCGTGTTTTATGGAGCTGGCATCAGAATGACCCAAACAACAACAGAGACTTTCAGAGACATTCAGTAATGGGGTCAACCAGTTTGTCTCTTTTAGGTGGACTGCCTACACCTCGATCAGTACCAAGGGACTCTACATCTGAAGCATTTCTTGCTAATAATGTATGGACACCAATGAACACACACTGTGCCAATTAGCAAATGCATTCATACCAACAGACATAATGTCTGCATGACTGTCTTACATGGGGCTACGTGCTACATCATTGCAGGAAGCTTTGTGGTCACTTTGATCTTTGAAGTTAACCACTGCTCTACGTCAGTCAACAAAGTTACTAAGTAGCCACAAAGCTGCATGCTCCTGAATGATAGCCTTTAATGTAACCATATACTCTCTTAATATAACCATGTACTCTTAATATAACTGATTTATATTGTATGCATGTACGTATAGGTGACCATCCCAAGTCATAAAGACACTACCTACTGGTGTCAGATTAAACATTTCTCTGACTCTACTAAAGAAAATGAACACATATATGTGTACAGGGTAAGTGGAATGGTGTAGGATTGCTATATTGAAGTGTCTCTTATAGATTGCACCCTTGATTGCTGAGAGTACCAAGCAATATGTTCACCATATACTCATTTATGCTTGCTCTGATGACATCTCCATTGACTATAATGTTGACTGTGATGATGGTAACAATAGGATGATACTTGAGAGCTGCTATAATGGAGAGGTTGTTGCTGGCTGGGCTGTAGGAGGAGAGGTATAGAATTATAATAAAGAGTTCTATTTTTGTTTCATTTAATATCATTACAGGAGTTTTATTTCCCAGAAAATGTCTCGCTTGAATTTAACACATCAAGGACACTTTTACTGGAAATGCATTATGATAATCCACACCTTCACTCTGGTACACAACATTAATCTATTCCTCCTTCATTATGCACGTACTTTATTTTGTCTCTTCAGGTATCACTGATAATTCTGGTATGAAGATATACTACTCATTGGAAGCAACACCACTGAAAGCAGGCAGCCTTGGAATAGGCTCAACTACATTTCCTACATTCATTATTCCACCAAATGCTGAGACTTACACTCATGAAGCATTCTGCTCCTCCACATGTTTAGACAGAGTAAGAACTAAAGCACTGATATGCAGCAACCATTCTTCAATTGTATTGTATGTAGCAATTGCCTGAAAACGGGATAAAGATTTTTGGCTCATTTTTGCACACTCATCTCATTGGTGAGTGAACTTTAAACTTTAGCAACCATTGTGTAATCTATACAATATCTGTCATGCTAATTACTTATGGTCATTAATTATTATAAAGGTAAAGCAGTTGGAGTGAAGCACATTCGTAAGAATACAGAGTGTGGAGCTACTGAAGAGTTGAAACCAATTGACAGTGACCCTTACTATGACTTTAACTATCAACAGTTCAATCATTTACCAGAGCCTGTTCATCTCAAAAGAGGAGACTCTCTCATTCTTGAGTGCATTTATTCAACAAAGAACAAGAGAAACAATGTTACATTGGTAAGAACCACTAACTATGTTGTATCATTATTATTATAATGGTTTATGTGTTGTGTAGGGTGGCCTGGGGACTAGGAATGAAATGTGTGTTGCTTTTCTTTACTATTATCCAAAACTTGAGCTCTTTTTCTGTGGACATCATCTCAATCACAGTCTTGCATATGATAATTTCATACAGGAGCACTTAAGGTACTAGTTTATGAGTGTATGTTGAAAGTTAAAGTTTGGACTAGAGTATAATGCAGTTTAGTGTTCAGTACTTACTGTTTTATTTCCTCATTCGTAGGCACAATTCTACTGCAATTAATGTAGCCATGAACAGTCTCAATTATTACAATCCTGATGGTATTTCTGAGTCATTCAACCAAATCTCTTGGACCAATGATACAATCAGGCAGTTTGAAACTGCAGTTAGAAATGCAAAGCACTATCAAGTCTGCTTGTTTGATGTAAGTGATGATGAGAGCTTCTCTCAATAGTGACTGGTTTTCCTCAGTATATACTGGTAGTGTAGTGACTCTTGTGTGAATTCTAATTAAAGTTAATTGCAAAGAGTGATCTCTATCTCTCCATTGTAGTGGAGAAATACCCTTACGTGATGTGTACTGAAGTGAATGTACAAATGTACTGTTGATCTAGTGCAGGGATATGATATATTCTGTCCTTGTAGTACTATACCCTATGCTATAATCAATAATAATAATAATAATAATTATTATTATTCATGATAGGAGGCTCATTTTTATGCTGAGGAGCAGCCTAAGATCCAGTGTGACTATCAGTCTTACGATAAGTGCACTGGGTATCAGCCGCTGTCCTGCTGTGACAGGATACGTGAAGTGTCCCCCTCTCCCTCTGGAGTGACTCACATCACTGCTGAGGCTTTCATGATAATGATACTCTTCATAATGGCTGCTGGATTCATTTGAAGAACTAAAATACACTCATTTGCTGCATTTTTTTCGTTTTTTTGCCATTTTTCTGCTACTGACCTTTTAAATAAAATATAATAGATGTTAGTTAACTTCAATCAGGCCACTTTTACTAGTGTGTGCTAACTTATCAAAAAATAATAATATCAAAGTTAATCATTATTATTATTTATCATTCTGAATACTAATAAACAAGAAATAATAACAAAACAAAACAGCATTTGAGTTTGAAATAATAATAATAATAATAATAATAATAATAATAATAATAATAATAATAATAATAATAATAATTACAATATGAGTGAGTGAAAGAGAGAGAGAGAGCAAAGAGAAGTAGAGAATGCTGAGGAACTTTCATTTCACTTGTTACATTTTGTCAAAAATACACAGACTTTACAGCAATAGAATGTCACATCATTGAGTGCGAGGAATCTGCTTTGGCTTCATTAATCCTTTGGATCTCAGGAATCGGACAATAAATGGAAGACAGGTCAACGTGACAGCTGCTCTCACTGGAAAGAGGAGCTTGTAAATAAGATAAGCAACGGCAAATGTTGAAGCAGATGAATATCGGCTTGAGTCAATCTTCAAGTATGAAAGCAAGCTTTCAACATCAACACCACTGGGGGAGAGAAAAAATAATTTAATAAGAAAAAGGTAAAAGAATTTGATTACTGCTAGTACAAAATGGCCACACCCAAATCTTCATCATTATCATTATTATTATTGTTACTATTATTATTATTATTTATTAATTTATTTAACGTACGCTCTGACAGCCAAGTAGCAGATTCCTAGTACTGAGAATGATAGTGTCATATAAAAAGCCACACCCACAGCACCATATTCCTTCAGCATACCAACAACCCTGTTCTGTGTCTCCTTCCATTTTGAGACATTTTTAACCCCTTCACTCCCCTCGCCAGAGGTCACGTATCGTACCAATAGAGGCCGTGGTGGGTGGAGACTACACTGAAGCAACTTAGAGCGAGATGAAAGAGTAGAATGTGAAATATAAGGGGAGAGCGTGGGCGTTAGTCTACGGATTATCACAGGTCTGGTATATGAGAGAATCCTGAACATAAAAACCGTAAATTGATAGCTTAACATAAGGTTTGGGCTCACCTCAATCTTCTGGTGCCTCCTCTAAAGGAGAGAGTAGAGAGACAAGTTGAAGCTCCAGCTAAGACCAGCATGTTATAATGTGCCAGCAAGAGAAGGTGTGGTCAATTGAGACCACGCCCTTTTAAGAACCCGCCTATTTTGGCGGGAACTTGCTCAAAATGGCGGCCGAAGGCGAAATGGAAGAATTGAGGGAACAGCTCTTCAACGTTGAAGTGACTGACGATAACCTTTTGAAAAGATGTAAGTAATGAAATTATAAGTATTTGCAAGTATTTCTCTTCCTTTAGTGATTCAAATCAGTCGAAACAGTGACCTCTCATTGGCCCAGGTTGCTGATGAGTGGACCAGCTTCTCATCTTCAAAATCTCTTCAACTTGACTTGGACAATATAGAAACATTTTCCTTATCGGTACAACTAATAATAATAGTAATTGTGTACACCCCTAATTGAATGGGTGTGGCCAAAAGTAATGAATGTGATTAAATATTGTGTGAACGAATGTACATTAGTTTTTAATTCAATTTCTGTGTGCTCCACACGCCCACACTTGTAATTGACAGCAGCTGTATTGTAATATTCAAATTACCAAATTAGGAAAGGAATTGCTACAAATTCATAAATGAACCTTCAATTCTGTTTTTTTCCTTTTTTAATAATAATTAATTATAACATTATTCCTTTTGTAGCAGGAACAACAGCAGCTGTGTTTATCATGCTTTGTCCGGCTTTTTTATACCTGTACATGTATATTACCAATCATTAGAATGAACACACACTATTTGGCATTTATTATTATTCTCCCTCTCTTCCTCTAGTTATCGTCTCGCCAACAAAAGCCCCAGAGTTCTTTCCAGACCACACCCACTTCAACCCAACGCTACACTAAAGACAATCTTCACTTGTTATTGTTAGCATCTTGCATATTTAACCCTTTGCGACCCGGGTTTTATTATTAACCCTTTAGTAACTCTGGTAGTAGAGAAAAATATGCTAATGATGACGACCAAGAAGATGTAATGAGTGGATATATTGATAAAGTAATAATAATAATAATAATAATAATAAATAAATAAATATTTAGATAGGAGGAGAAGGTTTGGCAAAAGTGGGAGGAGTCAAGAGAGAGGCTCCGCCCTTGCCCGTGATTAGTCCGGCCCCTAAGAACAGGTACTCAAGTGGTAGGACTCCAGTTCGTAATGAGGAACCATCCGTCTCTCAAATGTAAGTATAACCTCTCCTTAATGGATCCTTCATTTAACGGACAGCACCTGATGTATCAGTTACATTCCTTACTCAGAGGGTTTGTCACAAACGAGTTGCTTTAATTTGCAAAATTTTTTTATATTATTTATTTATTTATTTTTGTTGGTCTAAGAGAGAGAAGGGGAGAGTTTGAATTCAGTCTGTGGTCATCATCATCATCATCATCATCATTATTATTATTATTATTATTATTATTATTAATTAATTAATTAAATAGCCCCGGGCTGACCATTATGTGTGTGTGAATGGGCTAATTGTGTGTTTCTTTTATTGAACACAATCAATACAAGCTGTCTTGCTTCCCCTTTATTTTATTATTTTATAAAGTATGACTCATTACAATTAATGTCATTAGTTGCTCACATACAAGCTATAGTAAGTATACCTTTGACCAGGAACTTTAAAAATTCTTTAAAAATCTAATTTTGATCGGAATCAGCTCAAACTTGAAACACAACATAAGAACATGTATATGCATCAGAAAATGTAATAGAAACAGAGAATTCTCTCCTAGTCATTTTTGGTGAAATTTGGCTAAAGTCCCTGTACTATAGTACAGGGACTTTGGCCCAATTTTGGAGCAACTTTAAAAATTTGTAAAAAATCCAAACTTGATCCAAATCAGTTCTAACTTTCTACACAACATAAGAACATGTATATGCATCAGGAAAAGTTATAAAAATGGGGAATTCTCTCCTTTTCATTTTTGACAAAAATTGGCCAAAATCCCTGTACTATAGTACAGGGACTTTGGCCCGATTTTGTCAAAATGAAAAGGAGGGAATTCCCTAATCTTTTATACCCTTTTACTTACTAAAATTATTATTATTACATGTAGGTTAGACACGCCCTCTACCAATTATCGTAGTACCCAGGCCAGTGGTAAGGTAATAGCCTCGTTCAGTCAGGGGGCGGAGAAGTGGGTGGAGTCTAAAGGGATTGAGAATATACGCTATCGTGATACAGCTGGTGTTAGATTGAAACGATTAATGTATCAACCGCCACTACAGAAGAGATCAGGTATTGAGAATGATCACATGAGAGTCACATGACTTGGTTTGTAGTAATGGCTGAAAGGATTATTTCACTTGGTAATAAGATATGTCAACAAATTGGAATTAAAGATATTCGTAGCACGAGTCTCTTAACGGGCCCCACTACAGAACCTTCTGTCTTTATTGGTAGGGTTGTCTGTGACAGTGAGGGACGTCTCAACGCCCACTCATGTCTCCTTGAGGGGGTGTGGTCGTACGAGGCTGACATATTGAAGGCAAGGCTTGTTAGGGTGGTCCTTGACTTGAGCAAATCATCAGAACAACTTTCAATCTGTCTCTTCCCAGGACAGGTAAGAGAGAGGAAAGGGAGAGAGAGGGAGAGAAGGGAAGATTGTTAGCATGAGTCTCAGGTTTCTGCAGACATGAGTATGACAAGACTGTCTCATGACTTTATCTTGAAACTGGAAGATGTTGTTTATATCTTGTTACTCCTCACATTCGATGCATCATACAATGTTTGATTAACTGATTCAATTGCATTCATTTAAGTATCACACACTGAATGATCCTGTATCACAAACACCTCATCCTGTTACTTGAGTCTGTACATGTAATGATGTACATTGTGTCACATGTCTTTATTTATACATAATTAAGCTAATTGCTGCTCTAGCAGTGGTCATGGTAATATGAGACTCTGTTATCACGTTACATGTACTCACACACCCACAGTGCTTTAGTCTCTCTCTCTCTCTCTCTTGACAGATCATTGCAGTTGAGGGAACTCTCAATCACAGTGGGGTCCTGGCCCCTACCAAGATTCATGATAGTGTAAGGACAACTACCCTATCATCTCCTTTCTCTTTTGTACATTTATTTATTCATTAATTTATTTATTCATTTATTTATTTATTCATTTATTTATTTCTTCTTTTATTTATTTTATTTTCTTATTCTATTTCCGTGCAGGGAGCTCTTCCTCCACTTCCTTCAGTTAGGAATTCACTAGTACACAAAGGTTAGTTATTCTTTTATAAAGACACACACTCTATGAGGAACCCTAATTCCTCTCTCATAGCTACACAAGGTGTGTGGTATGTCTTTCATCTCATTCTTTCCTTTATAAAGTTAATGTAGGGACTGGCGGTCTGTCCTGTATAAGTGCAGCTGGTCCATTCACTTTCATGGAGTCTCTCAATCTGTCACCACTGCTTGACCTGTTGCAAGTCGTTGAAACTCAAAAACCTAAACTGCTTATATTAGTAAATCTCCATCCCTCCCTCCCTCCCCCTCTCTCTCTCCCTCCCTCCCCCTCCCTCTCTCTCTCCCTCCCTCTCTCTCTCTCTCTCTCTCCCTCCCCCTCTCTCTCTGTGACAATATGTACACATTGAATGGGTTTGTTTGTTTGGGGGAATTTATTGTAACAATTCTTCGGAATGTACACGTACATGTACATCCATCCAGTTATACATCCTACAGTAACTGATGTAACTGTAACTGTAATGTGTTATAATGTACCGGTACAGGTGGACATGGTCTGTTTTTGTTGTCCTAATTATTGTTAATGTACCAAGAGGAAACTGAAGGGAAATATCCTTTACTATATTTACATGTATACAATAATAATAAAATAAATAAATAAATAAATAATAATAATAATAAACAATAAAAGAGAATTTAAACTTATAGATATTACAACAATAAAGATGTTGCTATTTTTTCTTGATCATTTTGATACATGTACTTTTCCTATTATCATGTCCCTCCCTTTATTGCCATTAGGTCGGTCCTTTCATAGAACACTCTCATCCTTCAGTTAAGGTACTTAGTACATGTACATGAAGGAAATGGCAAGGAAATTGAACATATTATTATTATTATTATTATTATTATTATTATTATTATTATTATTATTATTATTATTATTATTATTATTATTATTATTATATACTACTTAATGTGTGCCTCTTAGAATGGAAAGCAGTTTGAGGATTATGATAGTTTTGAAACTTATTTTGTAACTCAAATACTTCAGCCGATTCATGCCACCTGCTTAAAGTAAGAACTTATTATTATTATTATTATTATTGTTGTTGTTGTTGTTGTTTTAGATCTAATACGAGAGTGCTGATACTCCCAGCACAGAATGACGTCTGTCACTCGTTGATGGTCTATCCCCAACAACCTTACCTTTTCTCTGACGCCATCAGTAATGAAGTGAGAATTATTCATGAGCCATTTGACCACACCCACCGTGAATATCATTAAGTTTGACCATGTTTTGAGGATTATTACAAGAGAGAAAGGGAGAGAAAAGGAAAAAGGGAAATAGAATTTGTAAGTTTTAATTCCAATTATTTGAGAACAAGAGCAAGAGAGAGGGAGGGAGAGAGGGAGAAATTATACTAGGGAATCAGTTCATTCCATATTAGGATGTACTGTATCAATGTGATAACTTGTATTCATTACCTCAAGGAATTATTGTGTATTTGTTGTTTATGTGTTGTTGTTGTGTCTTGTTTTTGTTATGTTTACAGTTTATTATTCAGCGTAAGTTTAAACAAAGCACATGCAGCTTATACTGTGTATACTATACTCTATCACTTGAAAGTAAACATTCACGTGAAGTGAGCCCATACAGAGGCACAGTGAGAGAGAGAGACTGCTGTACACTGTAACCTTTATAGTGAGGATGTTTTGTAATGTCCCAATTGGTACAAACCTATACAAAAGTACCTCTGAAATGAGGACACCTTTGTATTAAGGACAGGTAGTGTGGGCCCAATGGTGTCCTTAATAAAGAGGCTACACTGTACATGTATTAAGGACAGGTAGTGTGGGCCCAATGGTGTCCTTAATAAAGAGGCTACACTGTACATGTATTAAGGACAGGTAGTGTGGGCCCAATGGTGTCCTTAATAAAGAGGCTACACTGTACATGTATTAAGGACAGGTAGTGTGGGCCCAATGGTGTCCTTAATAAAGAGGCTACACTGTCCATTATTATTATTATTATTATTATTATCATTGCTTTGCTGTAGGTGGGTAACGTAATCTCAATGTTACCTGATCCATATACTGTTCATTTTGACGGTATCAACATTGGAATATCATCAGTAGACGTTCTCTTTCATCTTTCATCAAGTTCCTTATCAATTGGGTCAGTCCGTGTCTCTATTAGCCAGTATTTGTGTCTTTGGATTATCTTTGATCTTTTATAATTGCATTAATAATTGGCAGCTCACTCCTTTATTGATAAACTTTTATGTGTACATGTACATTTTAGAAAATTCTCACAGAGTTATGGCCATTTAAAGAAATGGCCAATTTCTGAAAAAATCCCTGTACTATAGCCCATGGTTTTTTCCGAAAAATGGCTCTGAAATCACCCCCAATTTTTATTACATTTTCCAATACATATTGATGTCCTTATGCTGTGTAGAAAGTTTGAGCTGATTCCGACTTCAATTTTTCAAGTTATGACCATTAAAAAAATGGGCCAGTATAATGCTTTATCTATTATAACTCTCAAAAAATTAAGATCCATGAACTATTATTATTATTATTATTATTATTATTATTATTATTATTATTATTATTATCATTCTAGTACGAATCACGGCGACAGAATGGCCAGACTTTTGTCTCACATTTTACAGCAGCAATGGTGAGTCCCACCCACAGTCCACCAATTAACCATCGCTCTACGACTAATCTCATTTATTGCAAGAGCCAATACAAGTGTACATGTACATGTATTATTAATACGTATTTTATACATGTACGTATGACATTACCTCATGTATAAATGCATGTATAGATTATACATGTCATGTATTGATTTATATTGCTCTTAGTGTTAATTGGTAATTGAATGGTTGTCATATTAGCCTAATTGAGTGGGCGTACTTAAGAATTGAGGGGGATTCACATGATTCACATTTAACGGGTTATCAATTTTAGGAAGGAAGGTAGACTTTGACATGTTATCATTTCAATAGTAACCTAATAGCCTCATTGTGACCCGATAGTCTAACAACTCCACGCAATCTCAAGCCCCACACACACACACACACACACACACACACACACACACACAAACACACACTTTATATTGATACATTAAGTAATCACTGATCTGATGGAATTTGGAAGTGAAGGTAGTCAAAAGGACTTTAACCCTTAGATTACCAGCTGACACTCAGTACCTTATAAAACAGCCGGTATATTAATATAAAGCCCACCAATTCTTGTATGCACGCTGACACGCTCATATAAATTCCTATTCATATAATACTTGTACTTTAGGAATCAATAGCATAATTAGTTTTTGCCGAAAATTTTTAACCCGTTGTTTCCTCATGTTTTGTTGTCGTGTTTTTCTTCAATTAGCGTTTACATTGTGTTGACATAATTTTCTGCCCATTATTGTAATTAATTTATTATTATTATTATTATTATTATTATTATTATTATCTTATAGTTATTACCCTCTCTATCCACCTTACCTGAAAGAAGACACAGTTACCAAGGCAACAAGCACCGCCCACTCTACAGGAAACTATCTTGAAAACCTCCCAGAGGTCAATATTGATTTGCAGCTGGCCTATGGTGACAGTGATACACCTGGACTAGCTTGTTTGAACGTATTGCCAGATATTTTAATACTTCCATCAAAACTGAAACCATTTATTAAGGTAAGAAATGTAGCCTCTCTTAATGGACACTCTCTATAGCGTACACCTCCATTTAACGGACAGCACCTAGTGTACCAATTATGTTTAGCTTTGTGTGTGTTTTATTTCAGCAAATGGCTGTCAAATTGCCAAATTTAGCTCTTCAAAAACTACCTATATGTACAGCCAAAAGAGAGAGAGGGAGGGAGGGGAGAGAGAGAGACGGATGCTTTAAGGCTCATTAATACAGATTGATACAGCACATCACGTTGTACCAACCAGTGATTGAATACTCCATTGATTGTCATCAACTTGTCAGCTTTCCTTTTACATCCTTTCACATCATGTCTTATATTACCTTATCTGTCTTTATTTATCTTCTTTTAAGAATATTAACGGCTGTCTTTGCATCAATCCCGGCCATTTTGGAAGGAAAGGAACTTACACTAAACTCACTGCAGCTGTTTCTGCTCCAGCTGGAAAAGATGTCGATAAATCCGCCCAAATTATTCATATTTAAACAACCTTTTTCATTTATTATACAAAATAATATATAGTTATTGTGATTATTATGAATAATTATTTTGATTTATGATACAAAATTTAAATGTTGCTTGATAAACTAATTAATATTCATAGGTCATTAATGTTTATAATTAATTGACCATTGTGTATAAAAGCATTATTCCTCTCATACAACTTCATATTCAAAGTTTTGTGAGCGAGTAAGCCAGTCTGTTCTCTTTGTAATCGCTCTCTCTTTATTTGCGACTGTTCCTTGCTACAATAAGTTCAAACTTTCTCTCCTGGCGGCAGTCTGAAGATCATGTCTTGTCACGGAGTCTCCACCGGTACTATCAGCAACCTCAGGACTTATCTCGTCCGCCGCCTCGACGGGGCCGAGCAAGACTACACTGTAGACAAGAAATGCAATGGATCCGAGCTCCTAGATAAGGTAAGAGAGAGAGAGAGATGCGACCGGGCTTAGCCTCGGGAAGATATCTACTGAGGCCCGGGCTGTTGTGTAGCTCGGCTCAAACTCCCAATGCATGATGCCCGCCCTTGGTATGAGCTATAGAAATAGTTCCTTCTCATTTTAAACCTTTAAAAACATCTTTTCACTTTTTGCATGGAATGTCTGATACTGATATTCATATTACATCAAAGAAGCGAGTTTTTGCATTTTCTCGTGTACTTTTAACTCCATTTTCTCACGCTACAGGCCTGCAAGAGCCTAGGCCTAATGGAGAAGGACTACTTCGGCCTACAGTACACTGATAAGAATGGCGACCATCTCTGGGTCAACCTGAGGAACCCTCTGGCCGAGCAGTTACCTCCAAACAGCATCAAACCAGCTCTTGAAATGAGAGTAAAGTATTTTGTCCAACCACAGAAATTGATCCAACCAATAACAAGGTTAGATACATAAACCTAATCTCACTCAATAGCTCAGTGCCATTTATTTAGTCTTTGGTAGATATTATGTCTCATAAGTTAAAGTGTTTGGCTTATTTTTACCAAACAAACTGAATCCTTTCCTTTTAAATCTTGCATGATACAGCAGATACATGTACCTTCAAACTGTGAGCTTGTTGATGTACGTGTGTATCAATAATCATAAAGTATCTATCATGTTATGACTATCCTTTGGACCTTGTGCAGGCTGCTTGTAAGAATGAGATAGTGTGGAATTTAGCAACATGGAAGCTTTGAAATGTGTTTCAAAAGAAAGTTTTGATTGTCTGCCTGACACAGAGATAGAGTAATTATTATTAATATAATAATAATTATTATTATTACTATAGTCTAGACAGGTCCTTTAAGTAAACTGTATAAAGTAGATTATGCCTCAAATACCTCCTTCATTTCAAGAGGCCCAGAGGACAATAGAGAGAAGGGACAAAGGGAGAGGTAGAGGGGATGGATTCATATGTCAATATTGATGTCATTTATTTGATACAGAGACACACAGTGTCTCAGTTACTTCATATAGCCATATATAGCAGTAAGGAATTCAAGTCAAGGCTTATAATATATAAACAAACCATTGACTCACCTAATTTGTTGATTGCTCTAACCTAACTTTGATCTGTTACATTAACCGACATTAGATGTCACACTATACTTGTATTATATAGAACATTATACCGTATAGATCCTCTTGAATTGTAGGTTTTATTATTATTATTCTTTTGAATGCCATTATAGTTGGCAGTGTATGGTCATGATGTCATGATGATGACATCTTACCTGCACTTGATCTCTTTGTGTCATTCATACAAGACTGCCAGCTGCTAAACCTATTAATGTACTATTAATTTACTATTAGTTTATTAGTTTAAAAACACCACCTGCCCCACCACCGCCAGTTTATAAACACACACTACCTCCACCTTGGATAAAATCCATGATATCCTTTTTACCATATAAGTACATATTAATGCTCCTTCCAAAAACTGATGACTATATATCTGAAGTATGACTATCATCTTCCTTCCTCTTCCTCTGCAGGGTATTGTTCTACAAGCACATTCGTAAGGAGCTGATCCTTGGCCGATTAAAAGTCAACAGTGCCAAAGGAGCCCGCCTCACTGCCCTCATTGCTCAAGTGGACTTGGGAGACTTTGCGTCCGGTTTCAACTACCGCCACAAGATCCCCTGCAGCACCTCTGAGATGGATAACTATGATACTCGCATTAGACGAGAGCATCATAAGCTGATTGGGATGTCCCCTGATATTGCTATAGAGAAGTTCCTCAACGAGGCGGCATCGCTGGAGCATTATGGAGTGGAGATGTACCACGTGGTCTCTGGAGGTAGAATAAAGCTTATAGCCGGAGTGGGACCTACTTGTATACTAGTGTTATCACCACAGCTGGACGTATTTGAAAGGTAAGGCAATACATTAACTTTAGTTGGATTGGGTGTGGTGGGAAAGGTATCATTGAACTAATGACTAGTCTGTACACACAGTGTCTTATCATTATTAAATATATTTGCTTGTTATAAATGAAGTGCCTGTACAGGATATTGACTGGCACCAACCTGTCTGCCCAGCTGTATGATCTGCCATACTCCATTAGACAATTATGATCACATAAACACACGAACCCTCTGATGTTGAATAGAACTACAAGTGTACGCTTAATAGTACCTGGGGGCAAGTTTTGAGCTCATTTTTTAGCTTTTAGCATGTCTGAAGCTCAAACAAGAGAGGAGGCAAAAACAAATTGTGAAAAGTTATTTTAGAAAATGAATAATTATGATTTACACCTTCTCAGTGATGCTTCATTATCAGTCTGTATAAGAGAAGAATAGTTATTATATTGTACATGCAAAATGAGAAACCACAGTCTATACCAGTGTAGTACTGGTTGGTGTAGTCTGAATGTGATTAGGTAATTGAAGGTGTCTTAGAATAACACTGGGTCACTGGCTGTCTGGCTATGACCTTAAGAAGCTGCTCAAGTACAAATGAGTTGCTGTAGCTAGCAGTTAGACAATTAAGATTATGCTATGCAATATTTACAGTAACCTTGAACTGATTCTGTTTACTGCTTTAAGGGGAGAGAGAGAGGGGAGGGGAGAGAGAGCGATGTTCTAAGAATTTCTGTATGCAGCATTTGAAGTAATTTAATATGTTCTGTCCTGCCCCACTGCCCACCAGTTTCAAAACAAATAATTTAACAAGTTACAGAGGCCATTATGATATCACTTGTGTACACAAGTGATGTGCTACAATAGCATAGGATTTATATTGTGGAATGATGTTCAATTCGTAACTATCCATGTATTAGTAAAGTTGCAATTGTGATGTAATTAACTATTTCTCTCTCTCTCTCTCTCCAGATACAGTTACTCAGCCATACATTACACAGCATTTCATGGAAGGAAGTTCACTGCAATGGCTCAGTCAGCAGACGAAGGTCCAGCACAGCAAATAGAGTACGAGCTTAAAAGCCGTGGGGCAGCCCAAGCCTTGTATCGCTCGGTGACAGAGTTCCATACCTTCTTCCAACAGGATAAGGTTTCCAGCGTAGTCAAGAATGCTGGATATTGCAAGTCTATAATCGGGTCTTTTAAGAACCAGTCGCCCGATCGGTTTTACTTTGATGTGACGAAAACCCACAAAGAAGTAGTTAATTATTTATGGCCAATTCTCAATCCTAATTCTCATTCGTCGAGACCACTCCCACCTCCTCTACCGTCCTCCGGGTTCCCAACGACCAGTATGATGTCACTGGCGTCCCAGCGTTCCACTCGTAGCCTCCCCAACCACCCTCCACCACACAGGCACCACCCACGGGCTCAACCAAACATGCCTAGGAGTGTCTCGTCCGATAATACAACATTCCGTCGGGTCCAGCCACCTCCCCCTTTCCTTCCCCCAGCCACTCCTCCTCGTAACACGCCCACTGGTAGTAGGAGGGGCTCTCATGAGATGCCACGCCCACCATTGTCTCCTTTTGACCCATACGCTAGCAGTGTGGACTCTGAGAGCACCTACAACAGTGGGGCGGAGTCTGACACCTACGTATGCATGAGGAGCACAGGTAGCTACATGAGGAATGGGTCCGATACATACGCCCCCGGGGGATCTGATTACTCAAGAACTGGTTCTGATACGTACGCCCCTGGGGGGTCTGATTATTCAAGAACTGGGTCCGATACTTATGCCCCCGGGGGGTCCGAGACATACATTAACAGTGGGACGTCGGACATTAGTTGTAACTCTATGGACCGGGCCCCCTCACCACCCCCCTCTTACTCTGAGGTGGACCCAAACTCTGAGGTCCCTTCTCCTCCTCCTCGTCCGTTCACCCTAAACCCAACCTCCTTTACAATGACCGGGGTCCTTCAGAGCGGAGCCGATCACTCTACGGAGCATCATATATTCAATTTTGATACTCAAGATGTTCTCAGTCGTACGAGAGAACTCGAGAATGAGCTCCAGAGACTTCGGACGGCCATGACTTGTAGAGTGTGTCGTACCCAACCCCTGGGGGCTACATTTTGTCCGTGTGGTCACACAATTTGCTGTTACAGCTGTGCAGTGAGGCTCAGACAGTGCTGGCAGTGTGACGTACCTATCACTAACGTCCAGAAAATGGTTCTGGCATGAGAATAACATGATTAACTTAACAATGATCATTATAAACTAGTATTATACTCTCTTCTCTTTTCTTCTTTTTGAAACAACTCTTTGATCTTTCATAGCTAGTTATTTCTCTCTCTCTGATTTTTATTTGATGGAATATCTCCTCTACTCTTGTTTTATATATACACCTCCTTTTGATGTTCATCATTTTAAAATAATAATTAAATAATATTAATAATATAGAAGGGAGAGAGATGGAGACAAAGTTTAAACAAGAGAAATGGAAACAAAGGGATCACAAACAACACAATAATAATAATAATAATAATAACAATAATAATAATAATAATAAGGAAGATTTTATTCAAACATGACATATTAATTTTACAAATTTTCAAACATAACAAGACAATGATACTGTAATTTCAAAATAATAATTTATAATAATAATTTATAATAATAATAATAACTATTTTATTAAATTTCTAGTTTTATCTCGGTTGCCTAAAATACCAATAATTATAATAATTTGCTATTCAATTAATAATAATAATAATAATAATAATAATAATAATAATAACCGTTGCCTGGCAACTGTGCATTAATCACCCTAGTAACGGCCACTCCCCCCACTGGTATGATGGTTACTGGCCGAATTTGTAAAACCCAAAGACCCACTGGCCCCGGACTCTGACTGCCGATAAAAGAAGAGGTACGGTACTCTGTGAGCTAGCCGGAAGAGTTGGTCCGAGTTGACAGGTTTCACGTAATTGTCATCGTAACGTAACCAACCTCCATACTGCTGGTGATAGGCCTCAGTGATGTAATGGCCACCATTAGGAGACTCACCGCAATGATAGACAACTAGTGGATAATAATAATAATTGACACAGCATAAGGACATCAATATGCATCAGAAAATGTAATAAAAATTGGGGTGATTTCTGAGGCATTTTTTGGAAAAAAACATGGGCTATAGTACAGGGAAACTTTCAGAAATTGGCCCATTCCTGTATACATGTACATGTACACGATGTGTCCCACATAGAGGGAAAGAGATAGGGAGGATACAGTAATGGGGGGGGGGGGGGAAGAGAAAAATAAATTTAGCAGGAGGTATTGATGAAAACTGTACACAATAGCAGTAGGAGTACAATATGAGCTGCATTGACATACAGAGAGAGAGAGAGGGAGTCAAACAGTCTCTCCTTTATAATGAAATGAAGATAAACAGGAGGACACTGTATACAACACAAGGACATTGATCCAATTACAATTTAATAACTAAATAATAAAAACACATCCATCACAGAGCCAAGTCTGCTATAACAAAGATAACCATCATCACTATGTGAGAGACTATTAACAGGATTGCTAACTGATAGAAGATAAAAGACAAGTTTTTTAGCAGCTGCCAGAGGCAATAGATCCCGCCATGCGCCATAATTAATAATACAAACAATAAGAAAACAATAAGAAAGCCTAGGGTGATTGCACCGTGAGGATTTTGTTATTTATTTTCAAATGGTCACATGACTGACTGATGAAGTCATGTGACCACCAAAACAAACAATGGTCCTCCTATCATTCACCACAGGAATGTTGGACACCCTCAAAGAAGGACTCCTTTATAATGAGGACACCTTTATAATGAGGACACCTTTATAATGAGGACATTTTGTAATGTTCCAATTGGTACAAGCCTATACAAAAGTACCTCTGAAATGAGGACACCTCTGTATTAAGGACAGGTAGTGTGGGCCCAATGGTGTCCGTAATAAAGAGGCTACACTATACCAAAAGTAGCAATTTTAGCAAATTTGACCTGGAATTGGCTAAACTGTCAAATTACATACCAAAATAAATAAATAATTATGTAAACACAACAGACAAAGTGATGGAGTCTCTCTTGACCCTAGCAGTATAGACACAAATGACTGGACCAATAATCCAATATATTACAATATATTACAATATAATCCAATATATTACAATATATTACATGTGTCAGTACTACAAAATGATCCAATTCATAGCCATTACTAACACTATGGCAGAGGAATTCAGTCACTATGCTGGGGAATGGTCACACTACAAGAGTATATGTAGTGGCAGGACAGACAAACAAAACAGCTTCAGGTCCAATGATAGCTATCAACAAGACACTGACATAAAGAGTCAGGCACACTCACTCACTCACTCACTAGTAAATGAACACATAAAACACATCATGTAGTACTAATTGATTATACTATAAAGTATACACTAGTACAGGACAGCCATAGGCCCTATACTACAGTATATGTATTGGTACATGTAGAGGTACATGTGTATTGTAGAGCAAAGGCGGTAGGTACAGGGTCCATTAACTAGAACAGCTGCTCTTTTTAAAGCTACACACATTCTCTGTCACTTAACTGAGAGAGAGAGAGAGAGAGAGGGAGGGAGGGAGGGAGAGGGAGGGAGGGAGGGAGAGGGAGGGAGGGATGGGGTAGGTAGTGAGTGATTTGTATAATGACACACACATTGCCCAGGGACTTCTACTCTACAACATGTTCATGTAGATACTATCCATTATGAGATAATAGTCTTACAGTCTACAAGATGGCCAGTGACCAGTTGGTTAGTCAAAAGTATAGATGTAATTCACAGTCAGTAATGTAATACCTGAGTCACTTGATATCTGCCCTCAGCTTCACCTCAAGCAGATATCTCAGTCCTTAGGTATTACATAACATTACAGCTCCAGAGACTACACAGTGGCCACAGTGTTTATTCTAATTTGCTATAAAAACTGACATAGACTTCATATTAATTCCAATCTCACACTATGGGACACCATCATGGCCACTACAATAACAGTTAGGATACTACACCACACACTAAATTTAGTCTTTTCTCTATCTTTCTCTCTCTCTCCCTCAAGAAGAAAAGAGAAGGAGAGGGAGGGAGAGAAGTGGTGCCAGAGTGTCCAGTTGTCAGTACATCATCATTTGATATCAGATGCTGTCACACAACAAACCAACCATCATCATACATTAATACAGATGTACATGTACAAGTACAGGTACATTAATAATGATTATAGTAACTAATGGGACACTTACTTGCCCATAAAGTATATGATCGCTGTGACGCTGTAATCTTCCCTTTCACTGGAGGAGCTAGTAATTCTAGAGAGAGAGGGGGAGAGGGGGAGAGAAAGGAGAAAGATTAAAGTGTGAGAGAGTTTAGTAACACAAACCCACCAAGTGTCCATGGCCTCCATTATATGGTTAACCAGTACAAGCCAATTACAAATACCACAAAAATGAGAAACTACATGTGCATGTACACGTACACACAAAAGCTCTCAGCCACGAAATCAAATTAATTCCTCAAAAATTTCATTATTATTATTATTATTATTATTATTATTATTATTATTATTATTATTATTATTATTACTATTATTATTATTATTATTATTATTATTATTATTACTATTATGTACATGCAAGGCAAAATTGCAGAAATTTCACAGTTATAACTTCAAAGTTTTTCAATATAATCTGAACAAATAAAAGTATCAAATTAATAGCACATCTGTGTGTGTGTGTGTGTGTGTGTTAACATTAATTGAACATAATGTGTGTACATTTTACATTATGTACATGTAAATGTAAAGATGACCCACAAACAACCACTCAAATAACAAACTACAGTAATTCAACACTTGTGACAGTATCGTACATATCCATGAACAGTACATCCTACAGAAGTACAACCCAAACGTCACGTAGCTATCAATTGACATCATCAAATGTAGATACAGTAGATGTGTACATGTTAATGGTGAATATAAGTAGACATGAGTAGATGTGTGACGTATAGAGTATTATGCCACGTAATGACACTAAAGGCTGCCAAGGACACAGTCAGCATATAAACATCAGTGAGTGTGTGTGTGTCAACAAATAATGAAGTGACGTTCCAGCAAATAGCGATTATTCTTGGATGACAAATTTCAGGAAAAAACAATCATTTTATAACAAAACAGTAATTCAAAGAGAGAGAGGAGAGAGATCAGATCAGTTTCAAAACCATATAAATGAGGAGCGTGCACAGACTAATGTACTACAATAGTAGCAGCTGTAAGTAGTAGTGGAGTAAAAGCAGCTGTATCTTGTACATGTACATGTAATCATAGCGCTTTTAAAATAAGTCCACTACAAGCTCCAATACTAATCCATACACTCCTCCACTCCATCAAGAGATTGTGTGCCTTTCCCCAGTGTAACTAGAATACATATAACACACTCACACACACACACACACACACACACACACACACTAATGATAATATAATCAGTAGCTTTAATGCTAAAGGATTCACACGGCAATAATAAGAGAAGGATAATGTTTAGAGAACCAATTAGGACATAACTGTATGGGAAGAAGACTGAATAGATACTGACTAGCCTTGCTATAATGGACACTTTGAAAGTGTCTCTGTTATACAGAGGTGTCCTTTATATGGAGGTTATTTTATACAGTAAGGAATGTAATTGGTACACTAGGTGCTGTCCGTTAAATGGAGGTGTATGCTATAGAGAGTGCCCCCATTAAGAGAGACTAGACTGGATATACACGTGTATGTGTAGACAGAACACACAACATGACCACGGTAATTGAAGTTAGTCAAAACATCCTCATAGAGCACACAATGGAGTTGATATTCTCCTCAAAACAAACAGACATCATGAACATGTGCACAATGTATAAAGTTAAAATGTCTAAAAGAAAAGAATGTCATTATTCTATTGTTTGTCATTCCACAAGCAACTGGGCAAATAATAAAGTACACAGTCTTTATTAATAATAATAAATTAATAATAATAATAAGGACACACAGGAACAGAAATTATGTTGAATTAATGAGAGAGAGGGAGAAAGAGAGAGAGAGAGAGAGGGACAATAAAGAAGAGGACACACTCAGTAGTGTCCTCCATGATTGCTAATCACTGTGTGCTGGGTCCTCCTTCAATAGAATTAAAACTTATTATGGCTATTGGAAAAATGTGATGATTATGAACATCATCAACATTCAATTCTTAAAAACATACTGGTAAGTGTTCATGTATATGTATCCCTCCATACTGAAACTACATGTTCTATATATATTTTACCCAAACCAATAGTGTACATTCTGTGAAATCAGACGTTATTCTATTGCTCCTCTGAGCTACAAATGATAATAATTCACCTAACCTTCATGATAATTAATTGATATGAATGTACATGTACAATTACGCATGATCTGTGTGTGTGTGTGGGTATGGTCAGGCCTCAAGATGGCCTCTCTCTCTCACTATCAAAGAGAATATAAACTAGTAGAAATGATGACTTTGATGAGTGACCGTGAATTGGAGCAATGCCATAGCACACGACCGATATAGAAACATTAAACATGAAATGTAAACAAACAGTATATTAATAGTATACTGATAATATACTGACAATATACTAAGCATAGTGAGTGAGTAATTGATAAAATAATGAGATTACTAGAGATAGACCAATAGTAATTGTGATATGGGATGGACTATAGACACTACACTACTTATCACATATAAGCATCACATACAAAACCAGACTGCAGTATTAATTATATTAATTATATACAGTGCTGGTGTAGAATATGGCCAATAGTTTAAACGCTACAGTGAGAGCGGTATAATTAATAAGTGATTTATCTAATAATACTAATTACAACTGGTAGCAATAATAACAATAGCTACATAAATTGTATACAATGTATCAAATACCATATGGCTAATGGCCGCCAGCCTGGCTGCATGTTTATATAGTAAAACAGTATCAGCTTTACTTGCTATGAATGTCATTGTACATGTATACCTTACAGTGTGGGCTAAGTGAGCTAAAACAATGATGTAGCAGCAACTTTAAAAATTCATAAAAAATCCAAACTTGATCGGAATCAGCTCAAACTTTCTGCACAACATAAGAACATGTATATGTATCAGAAGAAATTATAAAAATGGGGAATTCTCTCCTAGTCATTTTTGGCGAAATTTGGCTAAAGACCCTGTACTATAGCCCACGGTTTTTTTCCAAAAAATGGCTCCGAAATCACCTCCAATTTTTATTACATTTTCTGATACATATTGATGTCCTTATACTGTGTAGAAAGTTTGAGGCGATTCCGACAAAAAATTTCCGGGTTAGGGCCATTATAAAAAACAGGCCAATTTCTGAAAAATTCCCTGTACTATAGCCCATGATTTTTTTCAAAAAATGGCCCCGAAATCACCCCCAATTTTTATTACATTTTCTGATACATATTGATGTTCTTATGCTATGTAAAAAGTTTGAGCTGATTTCATGTTTAAAATCTTTTTGAGTTATAAAAATTTAGAAAATTTAACCAAAGGCACAATACTACATGTACTGCATATACAGCAGATATAATTATTAATTATTATTAATTATTAATTATAATTAAATGAAGTTAAATACTTTTGTGTCAGTAGTGATAAGATAATGAACCAAAAATGAAATTAGTAGAACATAATCTGATAAGAGAAGACCAGATACTAATAACAAGCACATTACAGTCTAAAGTTAGTTTAATTCATTCTTAAGAAATGGACCAGCCTTGTGAAAGAATCTAGAGCTATCGTATTACAGCTAATGATGTCATACTGACATCATTAGCTGTCAATAATCAACTAGAACTAATGAATGTATTAATATTAGTCATAATTATGGCCACATGTACAATATAGTCTCTCTTAATGGACACTCTCTATAGCGTACACCTCCATTTAATGGACAGCACCTAGTGTACCAATTACATTCCTTACTGTATAAAATAACCTCCACATAAAGGACACCTCTGTATAGAGACTACCTTATACCGATATCACGTATCAGAATAATATATATTTTAAAAGTAAGAGCATTTATATTATGACATCATTTGACATCACACACACACATCATAATGACAAGAACAAACTGAACAATCCTGATTGAATTCCAAAAGAGAAAAAAACAAGTTTTCCCAACACAAGAAAAACACACACAGAATCTCTAAAAACACCAACCCACGATGTACATGTACACAGATCCCACACAGTGAGTTTGGTACAGTACGTGTACTTACATGTACATGCTCTTTGGGAGCGTGAGAGAGAGCCACATTCCATTGGATATACATGTACAGATTAATCTAATAGCCAGTCCAAACAAACCCTAACTACACAGACACACACTTTATAAGATAAATACATGAACAGCACAGGGATACCTACTCCACTATATAAGTACATGTATACTCACTCACTGGAAAATACAGTGAATAATGTAGGAAATACACTATACATACAAGTATATGTACTTAAACAGAGTTAGGTTAGGTTAGACTGGGAGTGTGTATACATATAAAGTAGATTGTGTACATCCAACACTAAACAAGGGTTGAGAGGGACAGGGATAAGGGAATGAGAAGTACTGGAAGTGATTAGTGTCCTTATTTGTGAAGGAGAGTTGTCAAATTATGTGATACAATTAAATGATAATGTGTCATGATCAAGAGAGGGAGGTAGACTAGAAGACCATTGACCATAAACCAGCTCCATCAACCAACAGTATAGACACATTAATGAACATGCATGACTTGGCGTGTGTACAAAATGTGATTTAAATGGTCTTTGTGTCTAATTAAATTGTGATTGGTCATTGTGATTTATAAGAAATATCAAATGTGCTAGCTTGCAATTGCACGTACATGTACATGTTATAAGATGATGTAATGTTATATGTAATTACCTTTTGGTATTTCTAGTTCATGATCATAAGATATGTTCTTGTGAAGTTTGAGACACTTTGATCCTTCGAAGATAAACCTCTTTAACTGAAGAATGAGAATATGAGGCAAATGAATCAGTGTAGTGCGTCTTGTGGCACCAATCTGGGGGGAGGGAGGGAGAGAGGGGGGAAGAGAAGATGACAGTTAAGGTCACATTAAAGAGAAGTCTAACAAAGCCTAAACTCGTGACTAACACAAATTATAAACCGCATGGCTTCCAAGAGGAGTTACCCCAATATGACAGACACTTCCTAATCTTACAATAATCCATTGATAAAGGAACACCTATACTGACAACCATCAGTAGATCTGTCAGTCATTATAGCCTAACTGTACACCATCCATTATACCACACAGTGACAGTGTGTGTGTGTGTGTGTGTGTGTGTACATATACTGCCTTTAGCTTCTCTTTATTTTGTATTTTTAATTTGGCAAGGTTTCTGTTCCCCAACACTTTGTGAGTGGATTAGTCAGAGATGAAAGTAACAGTCCAATTAACCTTTGGCCACACAAGATACATGTACATGTACACAATGAGACACAAATAAGAGCTAGTCCATGAGCACATGAATGAGTTACAGGAAACAAGAACATGGACAACATGACTCAATTACATGTACAAAGATAGATTGATGATATTAGTAAAGGGACATAATAAGAGCAGAGTGTACTGTGTATGAGAGAGTCATTATCATTAATTAGGATAATGTTACCGGGTGTGTGTGAGAGCAATTAGTTCACTGCCTTAGAACTATACAATGATGTACATAATAACTCATGACTCCATACAGTTTGAACACACACACACATTATACTGTACATACATGTACATGCCTCAGTCCATATTTAGCTAATTGCAGTAATGGATCAAAACTGGATGGTCTGTAATTGTCTTTGTGATGCGTTTGCTTTTAGTTTACTTGTTTACTGCATGTATACTTATATACACATGTAGGTAATTAGTTTAGAGTTAGTGCATGCTCAACTGAATATCTTACTCCATCCTTTTCAGGAAGATCAACTGGTTCCTTTGTAGCTAATAACTCCAACGCATCTCTCACACTCTTTACTGAGTCTTGCTACAGAGAGAGAGAGAGAGGGGGAGGGAGAGAGAGAGGGGGAGGGAGAGAGAGAGGGGGAGGGAGAGAGAGAGGGGGAGGGAGAGAGAGAGAGAGGGAGGGAGAGAGGAGAGAGAGGGAGGGAGAGAGGAGGGAGGGAGGGGAGGTCAAATATATTTAAAATGAAGACCAAACATTAATTTCAAAAGGTGACAGTCTAAATAAATATAAAGGAGTGTCCTTAATGAAAAGACAAACAAACAACAACAACAACAACAACAACAACAACATGTCAATTGATTATGATAATTACTTTGATGTCTAATAGCAACGAAAAGAATGGTTCAACTGTAGCTGATACTTTCATCCCCTGACGATGTAAAGTTGAATGATACCGACCTCCAAAGATTTCACTAATTGGGGAGGACAAATATTCCGTCTAGAGAGAGAGAGAGAGAGAGAGAGAGAGAGAGAGAGAGAGAGAGAGAGAGAGAGAGAGAGAGAGAGAGAGAGAGAGAGAGAGAGAGAGAGAGAGAGAGAGAGAGAGAGAGAGAGAGAGAGAGAGAGA